TTTGATTATCAGTGTTATTCTTTACATTGCTGTTACTGTCATTACTACAATTATCATTTTCGTTTCTTATTATTTATTATCGTTGTCATCATTTTTTTTATGTATGTATGTATGTATTATTATACATATTCCAATTTATCTAAATTATTCATTCATTCATAGGCTCATAAATAAAATATTTAAACACACCCTATGTACATTTTGTATCTATTCATTCCGTCTACCATGAAGTAGCTCATGCAAGTAACCTTTTGCAGTTTCCATGAAGAGCTTCGGGAATTAAATGTCGCATGCTTTGTTGCAACGGATTGGTTACACATTATTTTTGTTATTCATTAATATATTCGTTAATGTCTAAAAATGATTTGTTTATAGATAAATCAACGATGCTACTATATAATCCGGGCCCATTCCAAGGACACTACTCAACGTTGCCAATAACTGAGCAACCAATTTCGACTGCACTGAGGAAACTAGCGGGTCACGGATTGGCTACGTTGAATGGCGATTCGGGATTGTGAAGGGAACTGCACTGTCCTGCTCTGCGTAGTTTTGTTCCCAGTAAGATTTTCTTTGTTTGTGTTTTTATCCTTAATATATACATTGTTTGTGTTTAGATTTGATTTTTGTAACCGAAAAAAAGTGTCACGTAACGGGTATTTTGGACCAAAGAGTTAAACTAAAAAACAGAAGTCACGGCAAAGCTCGTGTTATTCTTTTTTTTTTTTCAATCTCATCGTGAATTCCCAAATTATGTTTATGCTAAGATGGTTTCGAAGTTTAATGCGTGACACATTTTACTGTACTGTGCATTATTGCTTAAAGTATTGCATAAAATCCTATGTGACGTGATCATTCCGGTAAAAAAAAATGTATACAAGTAAACAACAGAGAGTGAGAGAGAGAGAGAGAGAGAGAGAGAGAGAGAGAGAGAGAGAGAGAGAGAGAGAGAGAGAGAGAGATGGAGAGCAGTACCCACAGTAAAACTAAGATAAAAAAACGTCCATCTTGTAAACATAGCCTATATCTGCTCACACCTTTTCAAACATTACCTTAATGTAAATATCATCACCAACCTTACGTCACACTTTTTGTCTGATATTTTTTCCAGAAAAAAATAAAACGGAGCTAAAATATAAACACCCCAGTTAGAATTAAGATAATAATGATAATGGTAATAGTGAAAAGGATGGCAATAATGATAATAATGATAATGATATAACAATAGTAAAAATAATGATAATAACACAAATGATAATAGTGAAAAGGATGGCAATAATAATAATGATAATGATATAACAATAGTAAAAATAATAATGATAACACAAATGATAATAGCAATAAAAACGATAATAAAGATAATAATAACAATAATAATAGTAATAATAATGATAATGATAGAAATAGCAAAATATTATAAAAATAATTATGATATAAATAACAACAATGGTGATAATGATAATGAAAGTAATGATTATGAAAATGATATTAATAATTATAACAATATAAATAATAATGTTAATAACTATAATAGTAATGATGATGATGATAATATTGTTAACAGTTATACTACTAATGTTGTTGCTGTTATTGCTATTATCCTAATTATAAATATTATCATAGTTATTTTACTGTCGCTCTTTCTATTAGTATGATAATTGCTATTATTAGTTATATCATCAACATCATTAGTGCATCAGTATCATTGTTATTTCATTATTATGTAATGGTTATTGTTATCATCACTATCGTAATTTTGATTATCAGTGTTATTCTTTACATTGCTGTTACTGTCATTACTACCATTATCATTTTCATTTCTTATCATTCATTATCGTTGTCATCATTATCATATATATCTAACTTATGGATATGTGAGGATGCGTGTATGTGTGTATCTTTACGGGATATATAATGTTTATATGTATATATGTACGTATATGTATGTATATGCACGTATATGTATGTATATGTATGTATATGTATGTATTATTATACATACACCAATTTATTAAAATTATTCATACATTCATATATTCATAAATAAAATATTTAAACACACCCTATGTACATTTTGTATCTATCCATTCCCTCTACCATGAAGCAGCTCATGCGAGTAACCTTTTGCACTTTCCATGAAGAGCTTCGAGAATTAAATGTTGCATGCTTTGTTGCAACGGATCGGGTATACATTGGATGGCGATTTGGGATTATGAACGGGACTGTACTGTACTGCTCTGCGTAGTTTTGTGCACAGTAAGATTTTCTTTGTTTGTGTTTTTATCCTTAATATATACATTGTTTGTGTTTAAGTTTGATTCTTGTGACCGAAAAAAATGTGTCGATGCACGCAACGGGTATTTTGGACGAAAGAGTTAAACTAAAAAACAGAAGTCACGGCAAAACTCGTGTTATTTTTTTTCAATCTCATCGTGAATTCCCAAATTATGTTTATGCTAAGATGGTTTCGAAGTTTAATGCGTGACACATTTTACTGTAC